AGGCCAAGGGCAGATAGGATGTGTTAACCCAGCATTGGACTCTCCTCGCAGTGCTCCGAGAACGACCGTTCAGGTAAGCCAACGGTCTATCTCTCACCTTTCATGTCTCTGGTTTAGTTTTAGGGTACATCTACTTTCTATAACAATTAGCCTCAACTCCCCTGGTAGTGTCATTCCACGGTTGTTGGAATTTTCTTTTGATTTTCCCTCCTTTCGTGTAATTAGTTTAATTTGGGAATCAGCTATTGTTTGGCTTGTGTTACAGCCATTTATTTCTATTTAATTTTGGGATGAGTGGAGGACCCATTTCCCTCATGTGAAAGAAGTTAAGGATGTGTGCAAATTGTTTCAGTTAAGGTGTTTTCTTAATTTTGAATGCTATCATATCTGCCATGTAACACTATATTTCAACCAGAATTTACAACTTGGATTCACATATAGTGTGAAGTCCTGGTTTGCTTAATTTTGGTTGGCTAAAACAAAACTGGCTAGATAAACAGAGTACGCTAAACTGCCAACCTCAGTGGTTGAGGTCAAACAACATTATTTTTGAAAGCAAAAATTACTAGAATTTATTGTGAGTTAAAATACAAATACAAACAAAAATTTAAAAAGTTTAAAAAGAAGAAAGGTCAAGAGAGATAGAAGAAAGAAAAAAAGTAGCAATTTCCCACCATTTCCTACTTTTAGTGCAGTAGAATACAGAAAAAACAACCCTGAACCCTTTGCATTATAATTCTAATTATTTCAAGTCATTTCTTTAACAACAAAACTATTCTAATAACCAAAACCTAAAATTAGATTTTGTTTCAGTTTTGAGTAAAAAAAAATCCAGAAGTGGTTTCCAAATAGAAACAAAAAGTTAGATTCTTCTCTTTAATAAAAGCAATCAATTCTGCCATGTTTACCAATTCCATCACCTTCACCATTGATTCTTCATTTGTGGGAATTAGTGTATCTTTCTATCTTTGTGTGCTGCTGTTAACATATGTAGTAATAGCAATAGCACTTAGATTTATATACTGCTTCACAGTGTTTTACAGTCTTTTCTAAGTGGTTTACAGAGTCAGCATATTGCCCCCAACAATCTGGGTCCTCATTTTACCGACCTCAGAAAGATGGAAGACTGAGTAAAAAGTTCCAAATTTTCTATCAATATTTTTGTCCATCAAATCTAAGCGGGAAATTCTGGATTCATTTTTATATTTATTTTAAGAATATTCTGAATTAGGGAAATCTGATTCCAATATTTTTTTTTGCTTTATCACCAAACCATCAGAAATTCTAAAAAGTACCCTTTACAATTACATTTTCAGCATATATTTATAGTTCCTTTATACATCTTTGACAATTACTCATGTGTTAAGACTCAAACAACATTCTTAATTGAAACTTAGCCAATAGGATTTTGAATGTAGTCAAATGTCTGAACTCTATTCTTTATTGAGAAGAAAATGATTATCACAATATTCTGAAATATTAAATATATTCATTTTTCTGTTTTTGAGATTATATAAAAGTGATTCTCATTTCACTAGGCTTGTTATAAATGTTATTCTTTGGAAAAAATCTTTGAAATTTAAATCAATAGCATTGGTTTTGCTTTCTAAGGCAACTTTCTCTTTTCTCCTAGATCATGACAGATGGCCCTCAGCACCAGATGGACATAATGCCAAAGCACTCAGAAGCATGCTTTCAGGAAAATCTAAATCAAAACTATAATTCAAAGAAATGGGATTTGTTCCCATTTCATTAGAAAAAAAAGCTATTTTTCAGTAATTAATTGCAATTTAAAAAATCTGTGCCTTAGAATAAAAACACCTTTTTAATGAAGAATTAATGAACCTTTAGAACATTCATTAAACACAATTATATGGAGCCATATTATATAAAGTTACATTATTGAACTAATTCATTGCTTGGTAAACATTATTGGGTAAACTGAAAATCTTGTAACTATTCTGTAAACTTTTGGATCCTATTAGCTTATTGATCCATGGATATTCTCTCAAAAAAGTGAAATGGCTGTTTGTTAAACCATTCCTATTACACAAGATTGTTGAAGAAAGTGAAACATCCATTGCCACTGTATCATATCCAGAGCCCTATAAATTAAAATGTGAGATTTTGGGCGCACTCATATTTTGGATGGGAAGATACTGACATAACTACAGCTGAAATATGACAGTTTATTTTTCTGGACACTTTAATGGCTTTGGGTTAATAACTCTTGCCCTAATAATGTAACCCAGAATGGCTAACATTTCAACATAAAGAAATATGTAGTTCATACCTATGTTTCATAGTTGCCTTTCAGTCATGAACAGCATGAGCCCTAATTGCATGCGATACCCTATCAGATAGAGGGAGATGGGAAGTTAAGAACTTTGATTAATAAATAAATATAAATAAATAAATACATGTATTTTTGTATGTATGTCATGGACTACACAGTATTGGAGACTTTGCTGTAACATCTCTCACCATCAGTAAGAAACTGGATTTTGCTTTATCTTTTCAACATTTGGATAGTTGCTGGCTGGATTCAAAACTCCCATTTCTGAATCAATTGCTAAACTAAAAACTTTCTGATTGCTCTGGAGAAGATACATCAAAAGATCTTATAATGACACTTTGAACTTATGGGCTTATCCTTCAAAACCCATAAATACCGATATTTACAGTATTTGTATTATTTGAGAAGATGGTGTAGTGGTGTAGTTCAGTCCTGGACTATCTTAGATCCACTTTCAGTGATGAAGATCATTGAAAGACACTTTTTGTAAAACACTTCTGGAGAAAAGATAGGATATACATCACCATCATCATCATAATCCATTGCTGGGAGTGGGGTTTAGACTAACTAGGAACTCAAATCTAGTTAACATTGAAGAATAAGAATGGACTTGAAATTAAGAGCCATGAGGATGCAGTGGTTAGAATGAAATATTGCAGGCTAATTCTACTAACTACCAGCAGTTCGGTCTTGATTAGCTCAAGGTTGACTCATTCTTCCATCCTTTCAAGGTCAGTAAAATGAGGACCCAGATTGTTTGGGGCAATATACTGACTCCATAAACTGCTTAGAGAGGGCTGTGAAGCACTATGAAGCAGTATATAAGTACTATTGCTATTGCTAAAAGTATGCATACATTCTTCATGAAAATTGTCTCTCAGATTAATTTAGTTTCTTATCTATGTATGAATTTTTCTAATACATACTGTCACCAATCTCTATGCCTGGGTAGCTTACAACAGTTAAACAATGAAAGACAACTGAACAATACAACGATTTAAAACAAAAAAATATAAAAATCATAAAAAAATAATTTGTAGCCAAAGAATCACACCTACCAATGGAATTCAATATAACCATTATGCTGACTCCATCAATTTCCTGCATCCCCATGCCTATTGAAAAAGCCACATTTTCAAGGTCATTCCAAAGACTAGTAGGATCAGGCCAATCTAATTTCTGGAGAGATGATGTTCCACAGAATGAGTGCCATGCCATGGTCTCTTCCTTGACCCTGCCAGATGACACTCTGGCTGATGGACCTCAGAACATGTCCCTCCTGCTAGATCTGATGGGATGGGTAGATGAAATCGGGATGAGGCAGTCATACCCTTAACCCTTCCTTCAGTCTTGTATCTAGAATCTCAGTTGTATGAAGAAGCATAGGTCTGATGGGGCTAAAACTTGTAGCATAATTTCGTGATGCTTGTTATTTTGACACTATTGTACTGTAATTAGGCATCCATGTATATGTAAGATATTGTGCACTGTTGCATTACTTACAAAACATATACTTATACTTGTTAAAAGCGAAGATTTCTATAAAAAAAGTTCAATTTGAAAAAATATGGATTTGTATATTTGTTGCTATAGTTTTATCAAAACGATGGCATGTTGGACTACAACTCAGCAAATCTAGGGCAATAATCTATTTCAGTCTAAGATGCCACAAGACTTGTGCTGGCTGCAATGGCTTAAAACCAGGGTCTAGAGGCCGTTAAGAACTGGATGAGCGCTAACAAACTGGTACTCAACCCGGACAAGACCGAGTGGCTGTTGTG